GTGAAACGATCTACTTATTTATTGATCGATGGACTTAGTATCACTCGATCATTCAACCAGTCGGGGCGGGGGATTGCTTGCAGACTGGTTCACAAGAACAAGTGAATGATATGGTCTGTTACACATCTATCCAACTGTGTTAGACAATGAAAAAGGTCATGGGAACCATAATGATTCGCGAGACTTTCATTCAGCTCAACTCAAAACCGAAGCCAGTTCCGTTCTTCATTCTACGGGATAAACGGGAAAACAGAGATATAGGACAAACATTCTTGTGAATCGAAACCTTTTTTTATCTCAGCTATTGTCATCCGGTAGGTGTGACAGTGGTACACCACATTATGAATATTCAACTTGTAAAATAAACCATGAATATTGCTTATACCATTTTATTTATATCCCTCCACTCGGTTCATAAATGGGATATTTCTGCCCTGGGGGTGGGGTACAGGTAGGAATGAATTAACTGAACAGTATCGAACACGCGGATACCTGACGAGCGGAAAAAATATCATACAGAAATAAGCTGGTTTCCTGGCAAATTCCATCGGTGTATTCCCATACTACTGTAGTGGCACACCTGTCTTCGATTGCGCAACCAAGCAGAAACGTCAAATGAGAATGACTCAACAGTTACTTGAAATAAACTATCTATATCAGAGATTCATGTCAGCAACGCCTGTTTGTGGGCATGAATGGAAGAAACAAAACTATATCGCAAACACCTGGTCGAATAAAATAATGGGTCAACATTCCTAATCCCGTTCAGAATTGCAAAACAACTCACATTTTAAAAGATTTACGTTGATTCGACCTATTGAAAACGTGCCTCCTCCAAATTGTTTATTATTTTTTTGCTTTCATTGCCATACATTCTCAACATCTCCATTCCTATCGAACACGTCAACTGTTTAGTTCTGTGCACCCGCTCTGTTCGGTTTGAGTTCGGAAAGAAAACAGTCGAACGAATTAGGTGGTTTGGCTGGTGATTGGCTGACCTTACATATGGGCAAATATCTTCCAAGTAATGATTGACTACAACATGGATTGTTTTTTTTCTTTCATGGAAACGTTGTGTCAATCACATTATTTTTTCACCGGAGAAACTTGTGTTTCTATTTACTTACACCCCTTCCAAACTCTGTATCTGACAGGAAGGAATGCGCTTCTTGGTATACCTATGAACAGTCGTTCAGATGGTGCATGGCAATGTGATATTTACCATAAAACAACATAGTCAGCATTATTCTGGTCATCATCACCATAAATATCACACACATCACTGTTAAATCCATTTTCCTCGGCGCATACACTTTCATTCACCTATTTCTTCGGTCACCTCACATCGTCTAAACCCATGCATATTATCGACCAACCCGGATCCATTGCCAAGACATTCGCTTCCTTTTTAGCTTTAATGACCCTGTTGCTTCGTTTGTCCACCAAACCTGCATTATCTCACCCCACCCCGCCCCCACTACTCTCGTGGCCATTTTCCGTGACCCTGATTTGGTGTGATTCGCCCTGTCCTCTATTTGCTATGTAGTACAGGTAGTACTGATTTACTGTCTTATTCTGATTGGCCCGCTCATACGTCAGACCAACCCACCTGCACATCTGCACTCTGACGCCACACTTAGCTTGCTCCGTCGATGGAGCGGCGAGCTCCTTGGTTTGCACGTTTGGCATTGTTCGTTTCACCGGTTCAGTTATATCCTTGGGGAAGAGACCACAATTTGAGGGCTTGGGGTGTCCATGGACATTGGAACCTTTCACATCTCCAGCACGATATTATTATTCGCTATTGTATGGAGTCGAGGCCATTTGGACTTGGTTCTTAAGGCTGAACCTACCTCATTGTCGGCCTAGATAATCCTACGAATTTAACAACCAGCTGCATTCAAGAAGGGGTTGGCTGCGGTCATTTTCAGTGCCTGATCATCGCCCACAAGTCTTCAATACCATCATCGGTATCGTTACCGCGTGAACAGCCCAACGCAAAGCAAGTCCTTCGGAGTTGCACAGTCGGAATGCACATCGCATATTGCACAGTTCGATCCAAGAAATAATAATGTGAATGCAATTTTACTCATGTTCATCGCCGTATCCAACTATCCAGTTAGTTAAAACTCACTCTGAGACTTATTCGCATCAAATCTCTCTGTGCATCTTGCCCCCATAACACCTGATGACCTCTGCAAAATTTATCTCGCCGTGAAGAGTAACCAGCACATGTGCAACACGATGCGGTGGTGCACGACATAGTCACAACACAGAAGTTTAACATTTTGTTGCCGTCAAATTTAATATTCCACCGGAACACGCTGTATTTTACCTCGAACACACCAAATGCACTTCTGCTAAATTGGGTCTATTGCACAATAAGCACATTCATTAATGGTCGAAGTTCCCGAATCCGAAGATTCCATAGGAGTGAACGATCGTAAAGTAGAACTGACCTCGACGGGTCTAAGCGACCTTGAAACTCTAACGAAACATTACATTTCTGATCAGAAGTGCTTACATTCATTGTGATCCACGGAGGTCTAGGATGTGTATGACCGCTCTGACCTAACACGCCATCCGACCGACCACTTAGATGACGCAATCAACGCCTAACTGATAATCCCTTGTTATCATGCAAATCTAACCTCAAGCACAGTAGTGGCGAACAACATCGTCTCGAATTACTCGTAACCGTGCCAATGCATAATAACATGTATGTCATCCTCACCCCTTGTGTTAACAATCATGTGTATTGTTACGTATTGGGCTGATTGCAAATAGCCGGAGACGGGCTTGGGCATCACACTGTGCTGTGCTCAATGTCCTATGTGGGATTGGANNNGGGATTGGACGAACACATGAAACCTAACCTTAGAGGAAAGAATAACAAGCCCGATTCCCGCGTTGAGTGGGATGGTAAATACACATCGGCAAGTTCAAACTTCGTGAGATAATGCTCACCTGCGCAAAACCAACCATTTCGTGTCTGTAGACCTCGATGGTGAGTAGACGTCACTTCCTTCAGCCCCATCGTTTCGATGAACTGCCTTACTCAAACCAATCCAAACGAATAAGACCTCCTCACTTGGTCGACGACGTGAATACGTTCCCGCTGTTTTGATTTCATGGGTTCTGGATTCGTGGACGAACCACTTGCCTGAAACTTTCACTAAAACACCGAGCTCGTTCTTAGACAAGCTACGATCTGTCATATTACTGATACCATGATGAGCGCATCTAGTTGTTTNNTTTCCGCGTGTTTAATTGAGAACAAACTAAGGATTCGTACAAAAATTCTTTTCTCTCAACTGATAATGCGATAAACGAGGATAGTGAGTAGCCACAATACTGGGCAGAGTATGAATCAATATAAAAAATGGTAGATGAGGCTTCTGCGAAGGAGCGGACAAACGCTGGCGATGATGTCAGTTAACGAGAGCTGAAAGAGAACTCAGTGCACCAATCGGTGGGTAGGTACGTCAGGTACATCACACAGTATCATGCATCATGTTACAGTCCGCGAGGCAAACCGTTTACACGGGGCTGGTTTGGGTATGGGGATCAGAGTGAGGAATGTGGGTGTTTGATTTATTCGTTTACTGCCGAATCATGTTGTCGATCGACTGTCTATCTATCGATTACCAGATTCTGCACGCAGGTCGACGGAAAAGCGACAGACTTAATTAACCGTTTTTTGGAAATGAGTCTGTCATTGTATGAAACACGGAGGAGTGTTCGGTGGTGCGTTCGTGTGACACATGGAAAAACACTAGAGCCATTGGGTGGGAAATACGTCAACACACTGGGTCCAACCCGGTCCGGTCGGGGACCATAAGGTGTATTATCACAAGGCCCTTCGACTCATCCTCTTTAGCTCCCTCTCGGACGAACAGAGGTATTCCAGAGAGAGAACATAAAGACGCGTGAATCGGAAGAGCCTATTTAGTTCACACAGATTGAGAAAAACTTCGATAGAGTTGAGGCAACGACAGACCGAAGAGTATGCGGTCTGGATTGCGAAGGCACCAAAGGCCTGGAGGGGACAATGCGGTCAAGTCCAAATGAGTGAAGTGGACGACAATCAGAAAGGATGAGTCACAGGAGCATTG